ATACTGACTACATGGTCAATCTACAGAACATTCCATCACCAGGTCCCTCCCATTTCTCTTTTGCAGGCATACCCACTTCCCACCCACCTGGTCTCCTCCTTAAACCCTACCAAGTCCTCTCTGTTCTCCATTTCAATAACTGTCATATCAAGAATGTTATAAAAGGAAATCATACAGTATATAACTTTGGGGATTGGTTTTTTTTCCCACTGAGCTTAATTCTCTGCAGATTCCTGGAATCTGCTCAAGGAATCAGTAATTCTCACCTTTTTACAGCTGAGTAAGGTCCCACAGTATGGCTGTCCATCACCTGTTTAACCATCTACTTATTGAAGGACATCTGGGTATTTCCAGTTTCTGGCTATTATGAATAAAGTGGCTTTTAATATTCATGTACACGTTATTGTGTCGACTTAAATTTTCATTTCTCTGGGAGAAATACTCAGAATGCAACTGCCAGGTCACATGGCAGTTGCAGATTTAGTCTTTAAGAACCTGCCCAACTGTTTTCCAGTATGGCTGTACCATTTTACAAGCCCACCAGCCATGCAAAAATGATCCTCCCCACCCTCACCAGCACTTGGTATTCTCACTAATGTTTTAACTTTAGTGATTCTGGTAGGTATGCAATGATGTCTCGCTGTATTTTAATTTGCACTTCCCTAATGGCTAGTGATGCTGAACATCTTCATGTGCCTATTGCCATCTGAATACCTTCTTTTATACGAAACATCTCTTCATGACTTTTGCCCGTGTTCTAATCAGATTATTTGCTTTTCTATTATTAGGCTTTGAGAGTTCTTTACATATTCTAGATAAAAGACCTTTAGCTGATAAGCGGCTTGCAAATATCTTCTCCCAGTGTTTAGCTCATCTTTTCCCTCTCCTGATGGATTTTTGGGCAGAACACAAGTTTTTAAATTTTATGAAGTCCAGTTTACCAATTGTTCCCTTTTTGGTGTCAAGTCTAATGACTCTGCCTACTCTAGGTCCTAAAGATTTCCTCTTATGTTTTCCCCTAAAAGTGTTATAGCTTTACATTTTATCTTTAATTCCATTGTCCACTTTGAGTTAATTTTTGTGTAAGATGTGAGGTTTAGAGTGTAGTTCATTTTTCTGCCCATGGGGGTCCATTGGCTCCAGCACCATTTGCTAAGAAGACAGCCCTTCCTCCACTGACTTGCCTTTGCACCTCAGTCAACAATCAGTTGGGTGTATTTGTGAGGGTCTGTTTCTGGGTTCATGATACTGTTCCACTGATTATTGTGCTGATCCCTCTGATGCTACCACACAGTCTTCATTGCTAAAGCTCTAAAGTACATCCTGAAATCAGGCAAACTGACTGCTCTCATTTTTCTCTTCTTTTTCAAAACCTTTCCATATAACTTTTAGAATACTCTTGTCCGTAACTGTAAAATATCTTGTTGGAATTTTGATAGGAATTGTATCAAACCTATATATCAGTTTGGGGAAAACTGACATGTTAATTAGGCTGAATCTCCCAAACCATGAACATGGTCTATCTCTCCATCTATTCAGATCTTTGATTCTTTCATCAGTGTTGTGTAGCTTCCAGCATACGAACTCTTAACACGTTTCATTAGATTTATACCTAAGTAACTGTGTTCATGTCTGCAATTTACTTAACCTTCAAAAACAAGCTAAAAAGTGTTCCCTCTGTTCTTGTTTTTCTGGAAGATTGTGCAGTCTGTTAACTCTTTAAATGCTTGACACAATTTTCCAGAAACCACCTGAGCCTGGCGAAGTTTTTTACAGGTGTTTTCAAATTAGATATTAAACTACTTTAATAGTTATAGGGCTCTTCAAGTCATCTATTTACTAGTGACCTGTGGTAGTCTGTGCCCTTCAAGAAACCAGCCCATCTCTTGGCTGCTATTTGAGGGTGAGAGTCGTCTTTAGAACCCTCTCATCAGCCTTTGTCTCCGAGCATTTGAAGGATGGCAGTCACCTCCTTCTGGCCCTGGTGAGAAGTCTGCTGTCATTGTCTTCCCCATGGGTAAAGTGTTCCTTCTCACTGCTTTCAAGAATCTGTCTTCACTTTTCAGAAATTTCACTACGGCATATCTTTGTGTGCACTGCTTTGGGTTTATTCTGTTGGTTCAATCAACTTCTTGAATCTCTGTCTGTCTCTTTACCCAATCAGAGAAATTTCAACCATGACTATTTTAATCATTTTCCAGCTCTCCCCACCCCACCCCAGCCAGCCATCTCTTCTCCCTCCAGGACTCTGATGACACAAATGTCAGAAAATCTGCTCCAGTTCCACAGCAGGAAGGAGCACAGGTGGAAGGGCTGACTCCCTACTGGCCCCTGCTACCACCTGAGTGGGGGGGCTCGTCTTCCCTGCTGGACATAGTCGGCATTCCAGCTCCCCAAGTGGCCCCCACTGACAGGAGGGGTGGTGTGTGTCACTGCTGCTGTCTGAGGGCAGAGTTCCAGGCTCCCTACGTCTCCACAGACACCTCAGTTCCACTCGGCATTCATTAGGGATAAAAGTCTCTGCTCCTTCCTCAGCCTGCTCTGCGGTGGGTTCTGGTCCCCACCTGGTCTTTCCAAGCAGAAGCAGTGGTGGGGCCATAGGTTTTTTTAGTCACCTTTGGTTGGAACTGAGCAAGTACCGTTAAACATTTTCTATCCTGCTAAGCCATCCCTTTCTTGGTCTTTTGGCCAGAGGGAGTGAATTTTGTTCGTTCTTCTTGTTTGCCAGCTTCTTCAGCTCCAAGTTTGAGATACATGAGGGAAAACAGAATTGGGGAACTCACCACTGGGTCGCAGCTTGGGTCCTGAGGTCTGCTCTGCCATCTCTCTACCTTTCAGTCTTCTTATAGTTGTTACATACACAATGTCCAGGATTTTTAGTTGTACTTAATGGGAAAATGTTGACTCCATCTTCCTGGAAGCAGAAGTCCCCAAACTTTATTTTTTTTCCAAAAAATTATTTTGCTTATTTATTTATGGCTGCAGTGGGTCTTTGTCGCTGCAAGGGCTTTCTCCAGTTGCAGTCAGCAGGGGCTGCTCTTTATTGCAGTGCCTGGGCTTCTCACTGTGTTGGTTCCTCTTGTTGCAGAGCACAGGCGCTGGAGTTCAGGCTTCAGCAGTTGCAGCACATCAGCTTAGTTGCTCCACTGCACATGGAATCCTCCCGGACTAGGGTTCAAATCCATATCCTCTGGACTGGCAGGTGGATTCTTAACCACTGGACCACCAGGGAAGTCCCCCAAACTTTAAATTTTCATGGTGTAATATACGCCTACCCTTTCACTTGCTTTGTTTCCAATGCACAGTCTGTGTTCCCAATTCGTCAGCAGCCTCTACGCCAACATATAAAACCATCCGCACTCTGTTCTCCCAGAGCTGCTCTGGTCTGTTTCCCAGATTCCCGTCCTGGGAATCCCCTCTGCTCCTCCCTGTGCCTAAACTCCGGTTCTGGACCTGTGTTTTCCATTCTCCTGGTGCATCCTTGTGCACTAAGGCAGCACATCCCCCAGGAACCTCGTCAGAATGGGTTCTGCAGGCTCATGTTGTAGAGTGCTGATTTGTCTAGTTATTAGGGCCAGAAAGGGACCCTTTGAATCTGAGAGTCACGTCTGTTGGTGAATTCTGCAAAATGCCCTTGCTGTCTTAATAACTTCCTCCCACTCTCCTCCATTCCTTCTTCTCATGAGTCAGCTGCTAAACCTCTTGGATAGATTCTATTTTTTTTTTCTCTCTCTCATCTTTGTTTACTTTGTCTTTTGGTTATCCTTTCTGGATGATTTTCTTTACCTTTTGACCCCTCTAAAGAATTGTTTATGATATATAATTAAGATATTAATTCCAAAAGCTCTTATCTCCATCTGTTTTCCTATTATCTCACAGTTAACAGTATTTCTTATCTTTCTGACAGTATCACATACTTTTATTTTTCCTCCAGTTTCTGCATTGTTGCCACTGCATTCACGTTTACTTCTTGTGTTTGTGCTGGGCTCTGTCCCTAGGTTACATGCTTTCCTCAAACATGCACTTCTCCTTGGCTGCCCATGACAGAAGCCATGAGCACGGGCAGAGCTGCAGAGCGTCGGCTTCTTTCAGGCTGGCGGGGTGGTCACAGCAGGGTCATTTGAGGAAACACTTCTGTGGGCTGCATGGCTTCCACATAAAAGCACCCTTCTGAAGGCTGCAGGCCTCCTGAAAGCTTGAGGGAAACAGGGTTGGCGATTCTCACCGTTCCAGACACAGGTTTTGACTCAATCTGCTCGTCTTCACACTGGGTCTCTCCCCACCCTCCTCTGGGCCAGGTGCCCCATGTCTAAAGTCCCTCTAGTGCTATGTCTCCACCAGGGAGACCTCCCACTTCCCGCCATGCCAGGTGAGAGCAGACCCCCCCGCACGTTCACAACATGCTCGGTGCCTCCCCACACCCCCACACACCCCCGAGACCAGCTGGACGGCTCTGCATCTGAGAGTCCAGCTCCGAGAGCTCTGTGAACTCACTACCCCACCTTCATCAGCTCCTTCCGCAAGTTTACAGGACTCGCGCGTTACTGCTGCACCCTTTCCCATTCTCTCTGACCGCATAGTTTTATACCTTTTTATTCATTTCTTCTCACTCCAGTGTTTAGGGGAAGCACTAAAAATACAGCAGTGCCCATCATGTTAATCCACAAGCAGGCACAGTCTCTGACAGGATTCAGAAGCCTGTGTCCTAGGCTGTGACAATGACACGTGGGACAGCTCTCAGCCTTTACCAAGGAACTGAAACACACGGCCAGGCTTTACGAGTAAGGAGGCGGCTTGCTCCCGGACAGAAAACCAGAAATGAGGCCAGAAAACAGCCATCTGGGGACTGGGCACCCAGGTATCAGACATACCGCCACGGGTGCACCCCCGCGTGGGAGTCAGCCAAGGTGCACGTGGGGACGGGCCCAGACCGCAGCGTGTGGTGCGCTGAGAGCCTTTGCTGGCGACAGGCAAGGTGTGTCCTGCGGCCGTGGACTTACCTTCACCTCCTTCTCGATATAGTCGCTCAGCAGTCTGTCGGGCTCGACGCGCTCGGGCAGGGACAGCACCACAGTGTGCAGAGGGCGCCTCTCTGTCACCTTCTCATGGGCTTTCTTATCTCTACTCTTTTCACCTTTTAGGAATACTCGTTTAAACGGCGACACAATTCCAGGCTGCAGGCAGAAACGGCAATGGTTGGAGTTCATTATTCACAAAGGCTTGGTGGTGCACCCATGGCTAACAAGCAGAAGTGGCCCAAGCCACTGCCACAGTCCCCGAGCAGGCAAGGGCTGGCCATTGCTGCCAGGGTGGGCCAGGCCGAGGGCTGCCTCAGGTACAGAGGGGCTTGTCCCTCACCTGTTCACAGACTCTTAGAAGATTCAAAGGACAGTTCTCAAGGTGAGTAAACTCAAGAGACGAAAAGAGGGCAGGAAGGGGAGATTCCCCCACAAGACAAAAACTGTCGCATTGCTCCACCCATCCCGGCTCTGCTGGGTCATTTCACTGCCGTCTTCAGAGAAGGTGGGGAGGTGTGCCCAGGGCTGTGGCATCAACAGAAGATGCAGTCAACAGTCACGAGGCCAGCTCTACGCTCTCCTGTGAAAGTGTGGCCTGTGCTCCACCATCCCCACCTCTGCCCAGGCCTCGGGGGCTCAGGATGCTGACCAACACCTGGGTGGGCAACTTCACCCCCAAGTCAGTGTCTAGACCGGCCTGGAGGCCAATCTTGCAATCAAAGTAAACCTGCAGAGCAAGAACCAGGGAGGTCAGGTAGAATGAAGTCAGCCTCGCCTGCGGGCCCAGAAAAAGGCCTGGAGCCCCTCCCAGCAGTTCCGAAGGGCCCTTTGGAGGCGACCACCTCCAGTCACCCAAAGGAACACGGAAGCAGAGACAACACACCAGCGTGCAGACCTGACAGGGAAATGCCACTGAACACAGGAGCAAAACCCAGAGCTGGTGACCCATCCCAGATGCAGAAGTCACCTTTCGTTGTCCTGTCAACGATGCTGCAGCTTGCCTGCCTGGGTGGGACCCACGGCAGGGGTACCTCTGACCAATGTACATGTCATCAAACATACACTAAAAGCTCTCATTTCCATTTCTCCTCTGCATGGGAAAATCAGCCACCCGCCATATCCCACCCAAAAGAATGCCACAGAGCCGATGATTCTGTGAGGTGCCCCATCAGCCCATCAGTCTCACAGATGGAGGGTGGAGAGGGGCAGTGACTCCCCCACTAAGGCAGGTGAGGCCTTGGGGGCCTCCCGGGAGATCCTGCAGGGCCTGCCCCACACCCACTGAGACACTCAGCTACAAAGGCCACCCCACATAAAAGACACCCTCCGCAAAGTGAACCCCAGCATTCTTCCTGCTCCTTCTAGCCAGTCTGGCTTTTCTCCTCTGCTCCTTGGTCTGTGCTCATTACCCGTGAGTACTTGACCTCTGCATATCTGCCTTTTACTCCTCTGATCCAGAGGAGTAATCCTGGAGTACCCCTTCCGTGTGCTGGATATCTGCCTAGTTGCTGCTCCACACCCCAATGCAGCCCCTCAGTGCTTCATGCTGGGTGTGGGGTGGGGTGGGTGTAAAATAATGCTGATATGAGGCCCACGGGGCTAGTAATGATCATGACAACGTACATGTGGGCCTTCATTTACTTTGTTTTTGTTTATATGTGAAATCGTTCAAAACGTTGTTATTTTAAGGATATAGTTCTCATCTACAGCTGCTTACACTTAAGCCATGGACAAGATAATCAATACCATCACCACATGGACAGCGTCATCTCCACCGTCTCAGACCTGCAGAGTGGACAAAGGGTGCCCCCTTGGAGGAGCCCATGATGGCTGATCCCAGCTCTCAGACCGCCCACCCTCCTGGTCCTCTCAGGTTTCTTTTTCCTTCCTTCCACAGGCACTGTAGGCCCCAGCACAAGTTAGGAGAGTGGAAGAGAAGAAGGTGGGGCCCTTCAGGTGAAATTCGGGCGTGGGAGGCAGGGTCTGGATCAGGTTGTTGCCATGCAGGGTTCACATGGAAATGGTGGGAAACGGTCACCCACAATTTCCCACTCAAGCACCGATAGTAAACTTTACATTGAAAGGCAAGCTGGGAATGGAGTAATGTAAATATCACATTTCACCAGCATGACTGTGGCAGGCCAAGCCAGGCCATACTGAACTGTGATTCCATCTCTGGCTGGCATCCCACACAGATGACGCTTCAATCCTGTTCTGCCTGACTGTGTATCTGCGCTGAGAGCCTCCCAGCTCCTATGATGTACAAGGCACTGCCCTAGGGCTGTGAAAATACCAAGGCATGTAACACAACGTTACAGAGATGACCTATGTCCGAAACTGGCCACAGTAAACATCTGTCCCTACACCATTTCTGCCTGCTAACCTCACAGAAGTCATTCTCTCAGATCATATAACCAGCGGGGACACAGACGTGGTTGATCCTGAATCTGACGGTAAGTGAAAACAGCTCAGTTCAATCTGTCTGATATTCCACCTTACTACTCCTCTACATCTGGGAGCCAACAGGAAACCAATTCGGAGGTGAGAGATTTTGCCAAGGTCAGCCACACCACCAGGGCCACACACCACATGCAACCCACACTGCTGTTTTAACAATGACGGACAGGTCATAAAGTCACAGTCTGTGTTGGAAAGGACCCAGAGCCCAAGACCTGCAACCCACCTTAAGGAGACACTCTGCCGGCAGAAGAAACCAGGACGGCCCACCGCAGATGCCCCCTACTGCTCGAGGATCAGCTCTCCCTATGCTGAGCCCCACTCCGCCTTCCTCTGCCTTTACCTCTTGGGACCCAGCACCCCACAGGGGAGCAATAAAACTGGTTGAGGAAGGGGTCTGGTGCCTCTGCCAGCCAGGCATCGGGAAGGTGCTGTGGAGGCATGAGACACAATTCCCACCCTCAAGGCGGTCACCACCAAACCCACAGCAGATGAACAGGGACTAAACCCTAGATGAGAACTGCTAGGCAGGTGCCTCAAAGGTGTGCTTCAGCGCCAAAATGTCCTGTATTTAAAGGAGCTACCCTGGCAACAAGGCATGCCCTGTGATGGAGCGTGGTGCCAGACCTCCACTGCTCACAGGCCAGCAGAGGCTAGCAAAGGGAGCTGCACACCAGACCACCTGGTCGAGTGTGAACGTGGCCTAACTGACTGGCAATCAGACACAGCTTCTCGAACTGGGTCCTTAGCCTTGCATACACAAGGCACCATGTGCTTTTTCTTAATGTCCCAAAGAAGTTTCACCAGTGGCTGAGCCTTCCTAGAAAGTGGAATGTTGTAACCATTATGTAAAGCAAGACACCTGAGCAAACCTGTAGTGTTCTTCTGCTGCCTCGTCCTATTTCAGCGCGGAACGGGGGCAGCTGCTCCGCCCAAAGAGAGCAGGCATGTGACACAGGAGACGCGTGCCCAGCTCCCATTGCAAGAGCTAGAAAGTACACCCGGCTGGGAGTTGGGGAATGGCAGGCATGGTGGGGACCCCTCAGCTTTTCCAGAAACAGAGTGAACAAGACGGCACCTCAGGGTTTTGGAACTAATGGTGCTTTTAAACATGAAATGTAAAAGAAAGTTCCAGTTAATACATTATTGACCATGAGATTTTTGCAGAAACTAACACCTGTGGCCAGTGATTTGTTATGTAAGTGAATGCTGAGATGTCTCTGGTCAATAACATTCAGGTAACAAAAGACATTAACACGTCTCTGGTCAATAAGTTGCTTAAAAAAAGAATACACTGACAAACAATTAAAAATACTCTTGACACACAGAATCAGGACTCCATTAAATGATTGTGGATTCTTTAATTCACTGGAATGGCCTCCAAATCAATACAGTTTTAAAAAATGGTTTTAGCCTGTGCAATTGTTTACTCTTCATTCAACAGGTATTTTTATTGAGCACTCGTGTTCATCATCACCAAAACGATCTTATAATCTTCAACCCAAGAGATGGAAGAAAGAGCCCCTGGAATGAGCACAACACGAAGCGCAGTTTCTCTTGGTGAATGGTGCCCCAGCACTGATGCCACCCAGAGTGCATCTGTGTCCGATCTATTGTGAAGAAATGGGGCCCTGAGTGTTGAAAGGAACTGGCTAAGGGTCCAAGGCACAGAGCCAGGGAGGGGACGCAGGCTTCATGCATACTTCACACATGCAACACACGCTGCTTCCTAGAACTAACTCCCAAGTGATCCCTAGAGCCTTACAACACTCTTTGCAAAGACTTCCCTGGGGGTCCAGGGGCTAAGAATCCACGCTCCAAATGCATGGGCCCGGGTTCGATCCCTGGTCAGGGAACTAGATCCCACACACTGCAACGAAGATCTGGTACAGCCAAATAAACAAACAGGTATTTTTTTAAAAGCCTTTTCTTGCAGTATCTTCCATCTTATGCATGAAACAACTTTTGAACTTGGAAATCGCAAATGTAGCTTTTAGTTAAACACACACAACTGACTCTGGTCCACTTAGTACTTTCCTAGAGGAGGGCCCCAGGGTCAGGCTGGCCTTGGGTATTGTTAGATTAAAGCCTGGCCTAGAATCTCACTTGAGGTGATGAGGCTCTAGTATCTGCATCTCCTAAACAAATCCTCAGAGGCTATGTTCTCTGTCAGAGTGTCTGTTTAGTAATTTACAGTAAGAAATGCATGTGCTGAGGAAGCAGCACAACCACTCCTGGAACAGCAGCCTATACTTGGGGACCAAAAGGAATGATAAGGTGAAAACACCTACCAACTTGCTCTTCGGGCACAACTCCCAGCTCAGCACATTCTGGAGAAAGTGTGTGGCAGTGATGGAAGGAAACCCATGCTGAGAACCTCGAATGCCCCAGCACAGTGCTCAGGAAGCCTTATTTACTCCTTTAGTAGACAACACAGAACTGCCCCTGAACAGAGGCTTCACAAGCAAGGCCCTGGGGTCCTTCAGCTGGGCATTCAGCAAATGTCTAATGGGCATCGAGCCTGTGCCCAGCACTTGGTCTATACCTTGAAGGACCCCTGTCTCCACCCCAGGGCCCCTTCTGCTAAGGGAGAGAGAAGACAGCGGCTCAGCGGGGCTCCGGCTCCACAGGGCTGCAGGACAAGGCCAGGGGAGACACCAAGGCCAGAGGGTGGGCTGGGCAGAGCCACAGTTCTGTCCAGCTGGGCAAGGCAGTGGCTACTCCACCCAGGTTCAGACCTGCCTAGGTGCGTAAGGCACCCCCACAAATCCTCTCCTATAAGTACCACTGTTTAAAACTGCATTGCAACATTGCCTATCTTAACTCCAACCACCTTCTACCACTCCCTGTAATACAAATCAAGGAATTTAAAAAGTTAAGTACTTCAGCCCCTACCAACAGAAAAAGAGCTTTTCTTAGGTGCCTTGGAGTCCTAAATAAAGAACAGGACACAGCCAGCGCCCCAGGACCTCCTTACAGACTCAAGTTCCCCATCTCAGGGCTGGGCGTGAACCTGTCCTCCACTGTGGTGGCTGGCTCCACTGACACCCAGCATCTGACCCTCCAAGGGCAGCCAAAACCACTTCGGCCGGGCACACAGCCCCTTCATCCTCCCTTGGGTGTCACAAATGAAACTCGGGCACAAGTCCACAACTGTGACCGCACTCTTTCCTGACCTTTTCCCTAAATCATTTTCGAACTCAGATCTTGGGTCCTGACTGACTATAAATCCACAGCAGGCCTGACACCCACAATCTTTTACTCCTTAGGCGAAGACGGACAAACCCAACCACCTACAAAAACCTCCTCATCTCGCTCACTGGCCACCGGTTCTCAGACCCGGAAGCCAGCAGGAACCCTCCACCCCATGCTCCCAAAGTGAAGGTCACAGGACCCAACAGTCATTCTAGATGGCTCTTTCCACGCTGGGTTTGCACCTACCTCGTTCTCCATGGGACACCCTGTCGGAAAGTCTGTCTGAGGAGGAATTTCTCTGGGGGAATTCTGGTTCCTCCCCCTCTGCCGACAGTTACTGTGCATTCTCCTCTGTTCACTTCTGATCTGGTTGAAAAATATGGTCAGATGTTCGCCCTCCCTCTGAAAAAAACATGTGAATGAACAGGAAGACCAGAAACCACAGCTTCCTTCTGCAAACCCCACTGAAGCTGTTTAGTTTTTTGAAAAAGTTTAAGAGGCAGGCAACACCCTGAAACTGCTGACAAAATCCAAACAGGCTGCGTGCACAAAAGGATGCAAAGAAAACCCACACATCTTCATATAAACCAGTGCTGCACACCTTCTTACTGAACCACCACATCTTCTAACTAAACCAGCGCATCTTCTTACTAAACCAGAACATCTTCTAACTAAACCAGTGGATTTTTCTAATTTAACCAGTCCATCTTACTAAACCAGTCCATCTAAGTAAACCATTACATCTTCTTGCTAAACCAGCGTATCTTCTAAATAAACCAGCACATCATCTTACTAAACCAAATACATCTTTCTAAAACCAGCACACCTTCCCTACTATCTCTAGCATGTAGAGCCCATGGGTGGCCTCCCCATATTTCTAGCCAATACGGTATAATCAGCTAAAGGACACTATTTTGGAAGTTTGACCATTCTGCAAAACCAAACCACAAAGTTAGAAAGAATGAGCGAGCAAGCTGAGAGCACTGTTGGGGCTCCCCCTCCTGACCACACAGTGTCCCTGATGCAGTGGGAGCGGCCAACTTGCCTGTTTCAGGCCAGCTGGCATCTGCTTTGGGGCACAGCAGTCCACAGGGCCTGAACAGAGCACATCTCCATGACCCTCAGCCTACAAAAGCCTCTACTTGCTTCCAGGACTCTTGAGTTTAAGATACAACTTTGAAACTAAAGAATATGTCCCTGAGCAAGCTCACTTTAACTCCTTCAGGGTCAAATCTGATCCTGAAAAGGGGAAACTGGGTTTGTCGATGGTGAAGATTCTTATACTCACTATAGAGTCCAAAATGGTTGCAAAGAGAAGCAGCTACTTAATTAACCATTCTGGTTAATTAGAGTGACCACATATAATCACAACTCAAAACCTAACAAATGTAATACAATTTTACTAATATTAGATTTATTAACATTAGATTCAGTTCAGTTCAGTTCACTCAGTCGTGTCCAACTCATTGTGACCCCATGGACTGCAGCACGCCAGGCCTCCCTGTCCATCACCAACTCCCAGAGTTTACTCAAACAAATGTCCATTGAGTTAGTGATGCCATCCAACCATTTCATCCTCTGCCGTCCCCTTCTTCTCCGGCCTTCAATCTTTCCCAGCATCAGAGTCTTTTCAAATGAGTCAGTTCTTCACATCAGGTGGCCAAATTAGATTTGATCAAATTAAAGTGCTAATTTTCAGTAGTTTTCTGCCCATAAAAATGACTATTTCATATGGTTCAATTTAAACTGCAACAAAGTTTAATATTTCTAGATTCCAAAAAGACTGGTTCAGAAGAGTCATTTCATGCCTTAATTACTACCACACATGCTGCAGATGTAGAAAATACAGTAAACCAGGAAAGCAGTACTGCTCTAGATTTGTTTGAGCAAACATCTGGTACTGTCTGATACTGTACTCTTTAGAGACACAGGGCACTGCAGGTACCATCTGGGCTCCGATTTCTCCTTTCTAAAAGCTGTCCCCACAGAGCAGGACCAGGTGGTCCTGAGGAGAAGGGAATCAAGAATGATATACAGATACCTCAGGGTGCAGAGCAGTCCCCATGCCTCATCTCGGCTAACTGTGGGGCCTGAGTCCACTGCCTGCTCCCCAAGAGGTCCCCCTGCATGCACACACAACGCTTCTGAGGCCCCAAAGCTGCCCCACCCAGGGAAACAGAGGAAACGAAAGGAAACCAACCAGCTGCACATGTAAGCCTACCTGTTCTGCTCTTACAGATGCAATGATCACCAGGGTGAGCACAGAAGAGAAAGGCCAGGGAGCAGAGGGCAAATAAGAGCCTGGACAGGCGCTTAAATTCTAGAATGTTTGGAGGCAATTGAGGAGAACAGCATTCATAAATGCAGCTGGGGGGGAGGGGGGGCATTTCCTACAGACTGTGAGGCTCTATCTAACTCAAGTGTGATGTTTTTTGCAAGAACGCTTCCATCAGGGGGCACATGATACGGGGCAGTGACCTGCCTCAGACGGCTACAGACTAGCCCCTTTGCCTCATATTTGGATATGATATTTTTCAACAGTCTAATTCCACCATTCCTTCTTCCTCTATTAGCAGAAATATTTACATAAAGAGGCCTTTTCCCTCCTTGACTTTTTGGTCACCCCGAGGTACCGATCACTCAGAAAAGTTACATGCATCATCCTTTCTCTTTGGCCATAGCTTTTCACAGCAATGCTGGTTCCCTGGAACCACCCAAGGTGAACGGTCCATTCAGTTCAGTTCAGTCGCTCAGTCGTGTCTTGACTCTTTGCGACCCCATGGACTGCGGCACACCAGGCTTCCCTGTCCATCACCAACTCCCAGAGCCTGCTCAAACCTATGTCCATCGAGTTGGTGATGCCATCCAACCATCTCATCCTCTGTTGTCCCCTTCTCCTCCCACCTTCAATCTTTCCCAGCATCACAGTCTTTACCAATGAGTCAGTTCTTCGCATCAGGTAGCCAAAGTACCAGAGTTAAGCTACAGCATCAGTCCTTCCAATGAATACTCAGGACTGATTTCCTTTAGGATGGACTGGTTGGATCTCCCTGCAGTCCAAGGGACTCTCAAGAGTCTTCTCCGACACCACACTTCAAAAGCATCAATTTAGCATCAATTCTTCGGTACTCAGCTTTCTTTATAGTCCAACTCTCACATCCATACATGACTACTGGAAAAATCATAGCTTTGACTACCTCGACCTTTGCTGGCAAAGCATCATCTCTGCTTTTTAATATGCTGTCTAGGTTGCTCATAGCTTTTCTTCCAAGGAGCAAGTATCTGTTAATTTCTTGGCTGCAGTCACCATCTGCAGTGCTTTTGGGGCCCGGAAAATTAAAGTCGCTCACTGTTTTCATTGTTTCCCCATCTATTTGCCATGAAGTGATGGGATTGAATGCCATGATCTTAGTTTTCTGAATGTTGAGCTTTAAGCCAACTTTTTCACTCNTAGTGGAATCTGCCACTATTCTGATGGGCACTACTGCTTCCAGAGCAAAGTGCTACCTCAGGCCCACCACCACTCACTGAAGGTGCTACTGCCTCCCGGGGCTCTGTGCCAGAGAGAGTGAGGAAATAAGCATTCTGTGTTTAAGAGAAAAACCTCCAGAGTTTATAGAATTCAAATTTAGGATTATAGGGCTATTGATTGTCTTCCTTGGTATTCTCTGCACCCACCCGATCCTCCTAGGATGAAAGTCAATGAATAGTGTTACTAATGTAACTATATTCCACAAATCCTAAAACAATTGTTAAGAGCTGCAAAATAACAATACCAGTATTATATTTCCCTGGTAGCTTAGTGGGTAAAGAATCTGCCTGCAATGCAGGAGACTGGAGTTCAATCCCTGGGTCGGGAAGATCGCCTGGAGAAGGAAATGGCAACCCACTCCAGTATTCTTGCCTGGAAAATCCCATGGAGAGAGAAGCCTGGCAGACAACAAGGCCTAGGGTCGCAAGAGTCGGACACAACTTAGTGACTAAACCACCACCACCATTACTAATAAAATGATTACTGAAAACAATTTGTGACTTTTCTCGTCCTTAGTGCATGTCCCACTGCCGGCCTGCTGTCAAATTTCTATGATTTAATTAAGTGAAATAATTACTCTCTGTGGGGGTCCGTCTTGTTTGGTTTTGCTATTTTTATACTTTGCTTTTGATTTTTTTTAAGTGACTTTTTTTTTTTTTAATGTTTGGATTCAACTTGTAATACTGTAAAACATAACATGGTTTCAAACTCACAAGGCCCATGCTAAGAGACCAACCCCTCCCCACTAGATAACCATCTAAGAAGCATCAGAGCATTCAGATCCACATCCAAGCACAAGGCTCCACCCTGCCTCCCACCCTGCAATGAGGATGTACCACAGTTTAGTGAGCCTGTATCCCAGGGGTGGAAAGTGGCCAAAAGGAACAGCTTGGTACACAAACTGCTTCATGTTTTTGCCAATGTTTCCTTCGAGGTTTCTGGAAGTGAGATGCTGGGTCAGTCAGGACACCTTAGTTCAGCCAGGCATTGCCCCTTACAAGGTGTCAGGGCTGTGCTGGTCAGTTCCTCATGCGTGACCAAGCAGGGATTTCTGCTGGCCTGAAAAGTGAAAAGGGGTAGCTCATTCTGTTTTCTTTGGTCTTAATTTACATTTCTCTCATTATGCAAGAGTCTCAATTGCCTTTTCACACATTTAAAAGCCATTTACATTCCTTTTTCAGTCTTTTCCCGTCTCTTGACTTGTTTTTTCTTATCAGGTCCTGTTTTTGTCTTCCCTATTTTTAGAAGCACCTTACACAGGGAGTAATTACTTTTTGTTTTGTAAGTTGCAAATATTTTTCTGAATTTGTTGTCTTTTTACTTTGCTTGTTGTTTAGTCACTAAGTCACATTCAACTTGTTTGCAACCTCATGGGCCGTAGCCCACCAGGCTCCTCTGTCCATGGGATTTTCCAGGCAAGAGTACTGGAGGGAGTTGGCGGTTTCCTTTTCCAGAGGATCTTCCCAACCCGGGATGGAACCTGGGTCACCTGCATTGCCTGCAGATTATTTACCACTGAGTCACCTGGGAAGCATTTTTACTTTATGCTCATGTTATCAGATCTGCGTTTTTCCCTCACTGCTCTGAATTTTGAATAATGAAAGGTCCCACAGCTCCCACATCACTGAAGAATTCACCCATCTTTTTGCCTAGTACCTTTATGGCTTAATCATTTTTGCTTTTACTTAAATCTCTGAACCACCTTTGTTCACTATAGTGTAGGAAGGATGGATCTGCTTTTAACCCTTTCCACACATCCAGTTACCCTAGTACCACCCATCAGTCAATATCCCCACCGCTTCAAAATGCCATTTTACTGTGCTCTTAGGTTCCCCACGGAGTGAGGTCTGTTTCTATATTTTCTCCACTT